GGAAATAATGAGTCTTCAGAAAGTCTAAGGACAATGAGGATGGAGAAAAGTGTAAGGGGAAGTAAGTGTAGCCGTCAATGCCTGTTGGAGGAGAAACCCAGGCCCAGTACACATCATAATACCTTGTCCTCGGTGCTCCAGATTCCTGGCCCCACCTCTGTCCACTCTCAGGAGGTGAGCACCCCGCCCCCCAACCTTATTGCTGCCAAAACAGGTTCTAAGAAAGAGCTGAAATCGATAGAGTGTGACATTCTCGAAAGTACTTGGTTTGCAGGCCTAAGACCTGGGTGAATCAAACGTTGGCGAGGTACTTCATATCTGCGTGATTTTACATAAGCCATCTACTCAAAAGTTGTTTATTCTTTGAGCCTCAGTTTTCTTTGGGTCTGTTTCCTACGCTGCAGCATGTATTTTAAAGTGGTTTTAAATTGTTGAGCGCAATGTAAGATGTGGTCGTTAGTGTGAATATAGGCGTAGAGTTCTTTTAATTTGGGGAATTTTAATTGTAAACATTCTACTAAATTCATTGAGCATTCTTTGCAGGTGAGAGGGTTTTTTTTTTTTTCTTCTCTGGAGAATTCTAGGTATGTAAGAACTGTAGAAACATAAAGTAATTCAGGAGGAAGTGTTTTGTTGGTTGGAAAAGGAATTTTCCACCAGAGGAACCAGGAAAGGTATTATTTTGCCAGTAGGGCAGAATGTCCATTCTCTATCTAAAATAACAAGATGAAAGAAATAATTTTGTTCTTAGGAATGAAGAGAAATGCTGATATGAAACAAAGTATTAATAGTCTTTGACATACAGCTTTGGCATTCGAAAGCTCCAATCCATCGTTCCCATTTTCCGTGTAGTATTAGTACATTTAGCAAAGGGAGCATGGTGTTCAGCCCCATGTTCTTCATCTGACTCAGCCCAATTTTGGTCAGTGAACTAATTCCCACTTTTCAGATAGGGAATAAAAAATCCTTTATGCTGAAAAGGGGCTATATGGTCACAAATAAGAGAAGACTATAAAGTGCCATTAGATTTGGGAATGCAATTTGCTATGCAATGCTATTCTCGAACCTTCTACACTATTGTGGTAATTGAGTCACCAGCATCATTCCTGCAGGGACTGAAAGGAAGCTCAGTTATTTAAAAAATAATAAAACAGGTAACAAACAAAACAAATAGAGCAAGTGTCAGGAAATACTAGCCTCAATATAACAAGCACAAATTTAAAAAAAAAAGTAAAATTGGATTAAGTCATTGATCACTGTAGCCCTGCCCTTTATGGCTGTACACAATTTATCGGGATTATACCCAATTTTTAGTTTCCACCTTTGTGAACAGCAGAAAGCTTAGAAATGTAAAATTATTCAGATGACAGTCCTCATAAGATTCTGTACATTTCCCTGTTCCCAGAAGCATGGCGACGAGGGGCCGAGTGCCACTGGTCACTCAGTCTTGCAGGTATGGACTAGTTGACAGGAAATTCAGAAGAACCACCCAAGAGAAATATATTCATAGAAATTGCTTTGTCTGTTTTCTAATGAGCTTTTTAAAAGGAATGTGCAGTTTTGATTTTTGTTTTGTTTTGTTAGTTGAATACTTACACTAAAGTTCC